CATTGTCTCTCTCTCAAGTTCATTTTGTCTGCTTCTACTGCAAATCTCAGCCTCACTATCATGTTCTCTAGGAAGCCCCTCCCACTCCCCAGCCCGGAGCTGCCCTGGCTGTGTACTTCTCAGCCCCATGTATCTGGGGCTGCCTTTGCTCATTTACTGCAAGAGCGCAGCGAGAGTCCACCTTTCCACCCACATGTGCCCAGAACAGTGCCTGCCCTATCTGAATACTGAGTCATGGCTGACAGGGAGGATAGGGCCAGTGGGAGAGGCTTGTGTTGGAGTTCTAAATGGCATCATCGTCCTGGAAGAAGAAAGGCAGAGGGTTGGAAGCCTGAGACCCACGTGAGCTAACGGCCTAATCTTGGGCATATTGATTGAGGTGGGAGGTGTATTTTTGTTCTTTGTCTCAAAAAGACCACAGTGCCTTCTTTATAGGGTAGTCATGGGCATCCCATTGAATAATGGCCCACACCCTTGGCCACTAGACCACATCTGCTTCATAGTTGCCATAGAAGAGCTGACACCTGCCCTTTAATGCCAGCCCAGACTCACCTGTTAGACTCCAGATGCACATCAAATGCATGCTCTTCATGGATACACAACGCATTTGGGTAGTCCGGTCCCACACAGTCTCCCTACTGTCAAAACGCCCATTACACCCACCTAATCTTTTTAAAAACTGAAGGGAATTTTCCACAGTGCAAAGTTAAGCACTTTTAAGTGCATGGTTGAATGGCATTTAGCACCTTCATACTGTAGACAACCACCACCTCTCTCTACCTCTCTCTAGTTCTAAGGTCTCACCATTGCTCCAAAGGGAGCCATTTAGTCATTCTGCTGTCAGCCCCCACTTTTCTTATGCTCTCCCCCCTCTCTGTGTGTGTGTGTGTGAGCAACTGTTTGTACACTCACCCACTTGTACATGTACAGAGGTCATAGGTTGATGGCAGGATGTCTTTCTTTATAGCTCCCCACCTTATTGAGACGGGTCCTCATTTAGCCTGAAGTTCACAGGTTCTGATAGGCTGCCTGGCCAGCAAGCTCCTGCTGGGTTATAGGTGCATGCTACCACACTCATCTCTCCACGGGTGTAGAGATCTGAACTCAGTTCCTCATGCTTATGCAACAAGCGCTTCACCCACTAAGCCATCTCCCCAGTCCCGTGTCTGCCATTGCTTACTTGTGTTTTTGTAATGTTTACAGGGTCCATTTATAGTGTGTTACCAGTGCTTTGGTTGTTCATTGTGTCCCTTTGTTCATTCATTCACCTTGTGACAGACGTCTCTCATCTATCCAATCCTAACCCTAACCCTGACAGTCACCTCTGACCCTGTTCTTTTCTGACACCTCCAATCTAGTGCAACAGCAATGCCTATCCATTCCATGCCCAGAATATACTTCAAATCCTTTTGTTCTTTCCCTCTGCTTACACAAGACACCCGTGTCTCACTCACCTAACTTCAGTGTATTAACTCCTGGGAAACTTGTAAAACATTAAGCGAGATCATCTAATCATTTAACTATAGTAACTCCTCCCCCACCTATTTAAAATAGTTTGCCTCTTGGAGGCAAGGCAAAAAAACACACACACACACACACCGACAAACACATAGCATATATCAGGTAATGACTTGGGTTAAAATCCTCACTGCCTCCAAGGCTTAGCAACTTCAAATGCATCTCAAGTGGCTTCAAGTAACCCTGGAATTGTACCTCTGCTACAGTGGGCTGCCTTCCTCCACGTCATGGTCCATAGCAAGCCATTCTTTCTGCTTCCTGATCTTAGCATTTCTGAGTATCAGGCATCAGCATACACATTACACACACACACACACACACACACACACAAACACACACACAGAGGCAGTGACCTTCACTGATGACTCTGTGAAACAAACCCATCATTCATTTAATTCTTCAGGAAATAAGTGCTGTGACATGGGCATAGCCGTGATGTGGGTGTAGCTAGCGTGGATGGATCTCTGGGTTCAGTCTCTATACCCCAGCTATCCACACATACATGTAATAAAGATGTATATGCTTACCACTGCTGGGGCCTGGGATAAAACATCTTTCTATTCCACGGAGTCCGTGGCATAGTGAGGAAGACAACATAGGAAAGAGAATAAAATTAAAAAGTGTGCTAAGGGAGAGGAGAGGGTAGGTATCTGCTTCCCACAGGCTAGTCTCTCCAAGGAGGTCACACTAAACTGCAAGGCACAAAGAATCACCCAGAAAAAGAGCCCGTTTTTTCCTCTCTCATACCCTGACTCTACAAAGCAGTGGTCCAGCCTTCAACAATTTCTTTAGAGGGGTTAAAGTATGCAATGCCCATCGCTCTCCCTTACAAGAAAGAGCTGTACCTCCCTGCCTGGGACAGCTCCTACTGTGTGGAAGGCTCTCTAAATAGACTGAAGTAAATAAGTGGTAGACTCAATGAATGACTCATCAATGAAAGCATTTCCTGAAGTTTAACAAGTGACATGCTGGGACAGACACTGTCACTGTTACCTTAATAGGGACTCCACTAGGCTTGAGAAACACTGAGAAGACTCCACGTTGAGAACAAAAGTGCATAACTCTACATATTGTAGGCCAATTAGGAGAGGGCACATAGAGCAAGCGCTCAACACGACCTCACAGTCACTGGGGATGCTAGTCGAGGTGTCTCACAGGGATAAACACTCGAGCCCGACATTTACTCTCAGAGGCAGTGAAAAAGTCCAAAAGTCAGAGAAACAATCACTTCCTAAGTGACCTCTATGTATAAGGCTGTTCCAAACCATCCTTGTCTTTTCCCAAATCCATCCAGATGCTGTGCCGTATGTCTCAGCCTGTCCTCCAAGACCAAGCTTCTCGTTATCACCCAATTCCAGCAGCCAAAGGTGTTGGATGCTCACATTTAAGTCTTGTGTAGAAACTGGTTAAGGGAACAACTAAAGCTGCACCCCCTCTTGGGAGCATTCTGCACCCACTGGCTGGTTAGTCACAAGCCCCCCTTCTCCTTCATCCAGTCTGCCCGTGCCTGGTCCTGTTGCCCGAGCTGTGCACTCACTGAAGGTGAAGCTACTTCTCAAGGACCCAAGGACCCTTCTACACACAAATGTTAGCAACTCTGGGTGTGTGTGTGTGTGTGTGTGAGAGAGAGAGAGACAGACAGACAGACAGACAGAGACAGAGAGATAGACACACACAGAGAGAGAGAGAGAGAGAGAGAGAGAGAGAGAGAGACAGACAGACAGACAGACAGAGACAGAGAGATAGACACACACACACACAGAGAGAAAGACAGACAGACAGAGACAGACAGACAGAGAGATAGACACACACACACACACAGAGACAGACAGACAGACAGACAGAGAGATAGACACACACACACACACACAGAGAGACAGACAGACAGACAGACAGAGAGATAGACACACACACACACAGAGAGAGAGAGAGAGAGAGAGAGAGACAGACAGACAGACAGACAGAGACAGAGAGATAGACACACACACACATAGAGAGACAGACAGACAGACAGACAGAGACAGAGAGACACACACACACAGAGAGACAGACAGACAGACAGACAGAGACAGAGAGAGAGAGAGAGAGAGAGAGAGAGAGAGAGAGAGAGAGAGAGAGAGAGAGAGAGGTGGGGTGGGGAGGGCGTTAGTTCACAAGACTGATAATATTTCAAGGCAAATAGATAAAGTGGCCTTCTGGTCTCACTTCCTGGGAGCCTTTGTTGTTGCTGCTATACCAGTCTCTGTCTATATGGCTTTGCTTCCAACAGCAGCCTCTATGCCTTGGGAGACAGGAAGCAAGCCTAGGGAACACAGAGAGCACAGGTACTCTACATAAGCCCAGAAGTACAATCCCTGATGACAAGACAGAGGTTGCAGCCTCCAAAAACAATATACAATGACAGGCAAGTTCAGAAGCAAGCATCACATGGCAGCATCTCCCTGCTTGAATCTACGCCCAGAAGTCAGGGGTGCAGGGCTCCTGGCCAATCAGTCCAAGGGGCTAGAGAGTCTTTGCAACTTACCGGCTTGTGGATGCCAGCCTCCACCACTGCCCACTGAGCCAGCAGAGCAGCCCGAGGACCGACTGAATTCTTTCCCAGCCTCCTTCATCTGAGGACAAACTTGTAAGGCTGCATCTTCAGACTTGTGAACATTTCAATACGCCCTTCCTTCCACCTGGCAGTTCGTTTCCCACCCACAAGTCCTGGTCCTACTGAGTAATCTGTTGTTTGATTAGCTGAGGTTCGGGCTCCTTCGCTTCTTTTTTGTGCACGTAAGAAAATCTACCTGAAATTTGTGCGGTCCCTGACGCCCTCGCCATCACAGGCTGGCAAATTCTAATTTCTGCAAGTCTGCACTGAATAGCGATCTCTCAATCTTCCTGACCTCATCATGATCCACTCATTTCATGCCCCTTGCATGACATCACATGCAACCTCTCCTCCGGTCCCTGGTCCCTGTAAGCCCCCACGAGCTCCCTTCAGGCAGCAAGAGCTGAGCACAATGTTTGGCATTCAGCCAAGTAAGTCGTGAATAAATAACCGGTACGCTCTATCAGCATTAGTCTCTATTCCTAGCTTGGCCAAGGGAAACCCTCCTAGGTTTCTTCCTGCGACCCGGATAGCAGGAAATAGGAAATTGCGCGACAGATCTGAACCCCAGACCCAAGGCAACAGGTCATGAGGGATCTGCAGACTGAAGGCAGGTAGGTGCTGGAATCCCGTGCAGAGCGCCAGCACTCGCTGCGGTTCTCAGCTTCCCGGAGCATGCTCTTCCCCGGGAGACGTTTGGATATTGGGTGGAAACCTTAGAAGCCATTGGCTTGCGAGCTCCGGGCTCCGGTGCCACACCGGGACTGGAGCCAGGGCCCGGCAGCAGCAGTCTAAGAAGGGAAGGTGGCGCTTCGGGCCAATGGCTCACCCGCATCCCGCCAACACCGAGAGGGAGCTTATGGGGATACAGCACCGCGCGAGGACGCACCTGCAGGTCAGATTCGGGGTAGGTGCTCCCTCTGGCCAGAAATCCTACAAAGTCGACTTTGCTGGGGCTTACCGTGCCAGCTACGGTGGCCCGTGGGTACCTCGGACAGGCACAGCCAGCTACACGATCCGCTGATGCACTGCAGCCGGGACGTTCTTCCTCTGCCCCGCACAGTGTGCGAGCGCCTCCGCCTGGCAGACTGACTTCCCCGCGCCGCGGAGCCTATTGGCTAGAGCAACACGACTCCGCACCAAGGCCCGCCCATCCCGCCGCTCCTCCTCCTCCCCATGGGCTTACCCTTGCCAGCCAGGTAGGGAAAGTTGCTGCAGCAAGCAAGCAGTGCTCTTGCTGGCCTCAAGTGGCCAAATGAGTTGATCTTTTTCCATCCCAGGAGGGGTGAGATGACCCCCAGGGAGTGCGAATAGTGCAGTTCAGTATCCTAGAGAGCCAGCTTTGAGAAAGTCACCTGAGGGCCTTAGGCAGCCACTAGTCATCAAAGGATCACAAGCACAGGGAGCAGCAGGAAGCTAGACTCTTATTCTGGGGTGGGGGTGGCACAGGACTTGGTTGCATACAAGTACACAGACATGAGAATGTCAGCTTGTAAGCGGAGAGGGCTGTATGGTAAGAACACAAAAGGGATGTCACTATATGCCAGGATGGTCTATGGAGGCAGTTTGTGAGATGTCAATTAAGACTGTAAGGTTCAAAGTAATTCCAGACAGAAAAAGAAGGCAGCCAGGGAAACCTCAACCCTCCAAGTTGGCACAGACTGGGAGGGCATTTAGCAGGTTCATGTCTCCTGTGTTATTTCTATGCCTCTGTTTCCTTCAGAAGGTCAAAGCACAGTCCCCCAAGACTTACCTGCAATATTTTCTTTTCTTTTAGAGACAGGGTCTCACTATGTAGCTCTGGCAGGTAGTTCTGGCAGGCCTGGATCTTTTCATGTAGACCAGGCTGGCCTCCAACTCACAGAGATCTGCCTGCTGCTGTTTCTGGGTTAAAGTTCTAACTGTAAGATCTGGACCTATAACTTAGTTATTTTTTTAAGATGACTAGTGCTTAAAATGCATAGAAAAATGCTTGGGAAAATTATAAGGGAAATTCTTGCCTGGATAGGTAAATTTAAGAACCCTACATTTCTAAAGAAACAAAAGTGGGTAGAGGTTTAGATGATAAGCCAGGCAAATTACTGCACAAATATTTTTGCTTTATTGCACTATGAACATGAAAAGGTGAAAATTAGATGCAGGAGAATGTGATGGTTTTCATTGAAATTTCAATGTATGGTAGCCAGTATTTGGAATATATAAAAAAAGGGTTTTATATTAATGATATTCTCCCATCATGCACTGCAACTCAGTGGCACCTAGTATTGTTTATTTTATGTATTTTTTGTTATATTTTAAAAATTATAAACAAGCTTGCTTCACATGTCAATCCCAGATCTCTCTCCCTTCCCTCCTTCTACACCCCTCCACACTCCCCCCAGCATCCCACACTATCCCTACTCCTTTCCCCATAGGGGATATTTAGAGTCTGTCATTTCATTCAGGGTAGGGTCTAGGCCCTCCCCTAAGAGTCCAGGCTGAGAGAGCATCCCTTTTTGTGGTATAAACACACAAAGTCCATTTATATGCCAGGGATAAACACTGATCTACTGCCCAGGGCCCCATAGGTTGCCCAGGCCTCCTCACTGACTCTCACAATCAGGGGGTCTGGATCAGTCCCATGCTGGCCTCCCAGCTGTCAGTCTGGGGTCCAAGAGCTCCCTCTTGTTCAGGCCAGTTGTTTCTGCTGGTTTCACCAGCCCATTCTTTACCCCTTTGCTCATCATTCCTCCCTCTCTGTCACTGGTTTTCAGGGGTTCAGTTCAGTGTTTAGCTGTGGATGTCTGCCTCTGTTTCCATCAGTGACTGGATGAAGGTTCTAGGATGGTATATAAGGTAGTCTTCAAACTCCTTACAGGGAGGGGCATTTAAACTCAAATAATGAAAAGGGCCCCCAAAGCGTGGTCACCCTCAGAAGAGGCAATCCTTTGCCCCCACTATCCTCACCCAAGATGGTGTTAACTTTGGAGAAACAACTTTGACTTCATAAATCACTGGGTTGTGCTGGAGGATGTACAAGGACTTGTGAGTAGAAGATGTCAGGAGCAAAATGAGCAGCAGCTGAAAGATTGCTTTCTAGAAAATGCCTGTTATTTTTACTTCCATATACTAAAAACATTTTCTTTTAAATTGTGTGTGTGTGTGTGCGTGTGTGTGAATTTGTATATATGTGTGCATAGAGAGTTCAGAGGCAGGGTGTTCCCTGGAGCTGGAGTTACAGGCTGCTGTAAAGCCACCCCACTTGGGTGCTGAGAACTGAATTCAGGTCCTCAGCAAGAACAGTACACTCTCTTAACCACCGAGCCATCTCTCCAGCTCCTGTACCCCCTTATCTAGAGGCAAGGGTTTTATCACCCTGTGAAAGCCTGGCATTTCCTTAGGCCAGAACCCTCCACAGTCCTTGGAGCAGAATGCTAGTTCAGCCTATCATACGCTCATCCCTGAGACTTTGCCTCCCCAGAAAAAGTGAGAAAAGGAAGCAAAAGACTGGACAGGAGGCTTCTCAGGGTGACAGTGACAGCAGCAGCATCCTAAAGAGACTGGATCGCCATGGGTCACGGCGGCCAACCTCAGGGCTCCCTTGATTTCTGCCTGTTTCTCAAGTTTCATCCTTGTGGCCATCCCTGTCCTCACCCTACCAGTTTTCCTTTGTGAGTCTCCGCTTCTGCTACACTTTCTTGTAACAGCCACCCAGTCCTTTCTGTTGCTTTGAACCAAAACCCTGATGGATTCAGGAAGGAAAGATGGCCTCATGTAACAGCAAAGGAACAGTTTGGCAAAGACATCTGCATGCAAGCAAATGCCTGCATGGTAACATGTGGACACTTGTCTTCTTTGCTCCCTGAGAAATCACACCCTACAAGGTGGTGGTAGTAGTAGCATTTGAAAATGGTATTTACATTTGAAAAGAACCCAGATGCTCTATTCTTAGCATGTCTAAAAAAAGTGAGCAAGTTCTTATAATAAAACAAGCAATCCTAGAAATAAGCCCTCTCCTGTCAAGTTTATAGATTGCAAGTATTTCACATTTCATATACACAGATTATAATTGACAGAGTTGTGGCTGGATCCTGGGTCCTAACTCAGAACAGTTCAGGATTTACTGGGCTGTAACTTGGCTCTGCTTGCCAGCAAGGATAGATGTTGTTCTGCTAGGGATTTTTTCACTTAAATAATTTTACTTTTCATTTTACCAACACCAGCTTCCCCCTTCTTCCACCCTGCACCCCCTCCCACCCTGTATCCACTCCTCAGAGGGGGTAGGCCTTCCTTGGGGAGTCAGCAAACTCCGGCATACCAAGTTGAGGCAACACCAAGCCCCTTCCCCTGTATCAAGGCTGAGCAAGGTATTCCACCATAGGGAATGGGTTCCAAAAAGCCAGTCCATGCCCCTGGTGCCACTGCCAGTGCTCCCCCCCAAGAAACAGATAAAGTCATATACCTGTCACCCACAGTCAGAGGGTGTAGTTTAGTCCCATGAAGGTTCTCCAACTGTCAGTCTGTAGTCAATGCGTTCCCAGTAGCTGGGGGTCTGCTGTCTCTGTGGTTTTCCCCACCATGATCTGGACCCCCCTTGCTCATATGATCCTTCCTGGAAACCTATTTTTTTTAAATGATGGGAAAGTTTTATTTTTCAATGTTTCCTTCTGGCTACTTGAAATGATGCTTAAGATCCACATGATTAAAGATGAATTATGGGATGGGGAGATTGCTCAGTGTGTAGAGGGTTTGCTGTGACAACATGAGGACCCAGATTTGCATCCTCAAAACTCACATAAAAAGTCAGGTTTGGCATCACATCTGTAATGCCAGTCAGGTTTGGCATCACATCTGTAATGCCAGTGCTCCTAAGGGAAGGTGAGAGGTAAAGATAGATTCCCAGAAGCTGGCCTGCTATGTACACCAGCAAACAACCAAGGAACCATGTTCAAACAAGGTGGAAGACAAAGATAGACCTGGGCCTGACCTGCACATTGTACACGGCAGTGTGTGCTCACACACAGTCACATATGATTAAAAGGAGATACTTTGCTAGGCTTGGGAGACAGTGAGGCTTGGAAGAAACGTGATAATGATTCTGAGGTGTAAATGCTACTTTAGCAGTTGGAGGAATAAAAAAAAACAAGGGGCTCTGGAGTTTACTCAAAGACGGTCAACAGCGCAAGAAATTTCCATCCCGTCTGCTCCCAGGCATCTTCAGCTAGAGAAGTGGCTGGGATTTGTTTCAGCCCTGGGTCCTGGTAAGGTGAAGAGAGCAAAGAACTGAAGACATGGGTGGCTTTTCTTGAATTTCAGCTTCAAGGCTCTGTGATACCGCGCCTGATTCTAGGGATGAGGCAGATTCTGAGCTGAAGACTTGAGAAGGCTTTCTGCTCACTTGTGTGCACTGCAGAGTATTTCTGCTGACATTGCAAAGAATTGCCACGGCAACCTGTAAAATACATTTCCCAGTTCTTGTCGTCTCCCTCAAAGGAGGCAGATACCATTAGGTGTTCCTGTCATTAAGGATGCATGGAAGTATCAGCTGATCATGTCACTCTCAAGGTCCAATAAATTTGCCTCCAAGTCTCACCCAGAAGCAGCTCCAGTGAGGCAGAAGGACAGTCAAGTCCTGTGGGACATGGGGTGAAAACACATTACAGTTGTTCATTCCCAGTGTTGTCTACACATTCAAAAAGCCTACCAGGTTAAGATGAATTCCTCAACTCCTTTTATTCAAACCAATCAGCTGGAAGGGATAGGGCTCGGATTTCAGTAGGTAGATACTGTATCAGTGTCAGTCACGTTTTCGTTGCTGTGAAGAGACAACATGACCAAGGCAATAGAAGAAAGAGTTTACTAGGGATCACAGTTCCACAGGCTATCATGGTGGGGAGCATGGCAGCAGGAAGACAGGCAGAGATGGTAGCTGAACCCTTAAACTATATATACAAGTGGGAGGTAAAGAGAGCTAACTGGGAGTGGTGTGGGCTTTTGAAACCTAAAAGCCCACCCCCAGGGACATGCCTCCTCAAACAAGGCCACACTTCCTAATCCTTCCCAAATAGTTCCACCAAGTATATGCTAACAATTC